TTTATTAAGTGCATTTAACATTTTATTAATATTTTTTATTATATTTTATTATAGAAATTTAAAGATTGCTTATTTTCGGATCTATATTAATTTGTTAGTTGCTTATTTTCGGGGGTTGTTTAATTTCGGAACGGTACGGTAATTTAAAATAAATTTTTTTATATTTAAATATTTATAAGTTAATTTAAATTTGACTCGAAACTTGATTTGAACTTGACTCAACTCAAATAAATTCAAGTCAAAATCGAGTCGAGTTAAACTCGAGTTGAGTCAATTGAGTCGAGTTTAAAATTTATATAACTCGAATCAAGTCAAGTTGAAAGATTTATAAAATAAATTTGACTCGACTCACTTGAAAAAAACGAGTTGAATAGAGTTGATCTTTAAACTCGACTCATTCGGAACTCTAACCCTAACCAACCCTAAATCTTCCGTGACAAGTAGGTATGTGTGACAAATAAGATTTCGCCACTCAAAAAAAAACTGTCCCCTGAATAAATAGTAAAAACGGAAACTTGAGGAGTGTAACAAATATTTTATTATAATCATGTCTCCGAGGATTTATGATGGGAAGATATTTTTAATGATATATCACGTGGAAAGAATATAATTGGCCTAAATAAACCAAATCGAAAAAAATATGGGCTATACGTTGAGGTCATATGCTAAAGTTGAACTGTGATATTCACGGACTCAGTCATTTACTCATCCAAGTATTTACCAAGATGAAGAGAACAGAAACTTATAAACGTGGTAAAAATCGGTGAAATTTTCTTTGTGCATATCCGCATATGATATTAAACGTTAACCGCAGCACATAGCATGCTGATCACACGGTTGTACATGTAAACTAAGCGTAATAAATTTTTCCTCCGATATTATTTGAAATCATACTCTTTTTCAGCCTTTCTCACTTTTCTTACTATTTTGTTTCATTAGCATACATCCTAACGTCATGTCGTCAGAAAGGGAAGCTTTATCTCTCCTTGCCAAGGCCGATAAAAAAGCGACAACTTTTAGGTTTTTTGGGGGCAATAATTTCGAAGATGCTGCCGAATTGTACATTAAAGCTGCAAATTCTTTTAAACTAGCTAAACGATGTAGGTGTTCTTTTGCTTTTCGTTATTCTTTTTCTTATTTGTTACAGTTTAACAGAGAAATAGTAAAATTACCGATAAAGAGCAAATTTTCTTTATATTATAGGGAAAGAGGCTGGTGATGCGTTTTCCAAAGCTGCAAACATGCAAATACAACTTAATGAACGTGATGAAGCTGCTTCAACTTTCATCAATGCTTCAAAGTGTTATAAGAAATGCAGTTTTGAAGGTACATTGGAATTTTAAATGAATAATTCATTTTATTATTAGTTTGATCTAATTGTAATTATTGTCATTTATTATAGATGCTATCACATCTTTAAAACAGGCTATCGAAATTCTTACAGATAGAGGTAGATTTCAAGCTGCAGCAGGACATCAGAAAGATATTGCACAGATTTATGAATCTGATCTAGTTGATTTAGAGAAAGCAATGCAATCTTATGAAATTGCAGCGGATTGGTATGCTGGAGAGGAGGCGAATGCGTATGTATCCAGGACATCCTATTAATTTTTATGTGATTTATAAGATTTGAGCTAACTAGTTTATAATTATATTATAGTCTAGCGAATAATTGTCTTCTTAAAGTAGCAACTTTTGCCGCTACATTGGAACAATATGATAAGGCCATTGAAAAATTCGAACAAGTTGCACACGCTAGTCTTGATAATCAGCTTACAAAATGGTCACTTAAAGAGTATTTTTTGAAAGCAGGACTATGTCATATCGTTAATGGGGTACTATCCACTTACTTTTTTTTATTAAAAAAAATTTTTTTTTTTTACATTATTAAATATATATATCTATTTGATTTTTTAAACGATAGGATTATATAGGAGCCGGTAATGCCATTGAAAGATATAAAGAAATGGATGTATCATTTGCTGGTACTCGAGAGTATCAATTCCTTCAGGATATCCTTTCCGCAGTTGAGAATGGGGATGTTGAAACATTCACCAATAGAGTTGTTGATTTCGATCAATTGTCTAAATTAGATAATTGGAAAACGACAATTCTATTACGGATTAAGAAGGGGATTCAAGAAGAACCACTTTTGACTTGAAACATATATGATTAAAGACATTTAATTTTAAATTTCTTTTGCCAATTCTATTTGCGAGGGTTTAAGTAGTTTTCTTTTCCTTGGGAATTATTAATTATTTATTTTTATTTTTATTTGGAAACGCTAATGTTTGATACATTGGTTGTATTATGTCCCTTAAATTTGATGAAGTACAGAATATTTCACTGATGATTGTAAATTTATGAACCATTATATTATTTTATTTATTTAGTTTTCATTACGTAATTAAAAAAAAATATACAAACATATATATACTTATATACTTATATATTTATATTCAATACCATCCAACTTTAAACATAATTTGATAATTTAGCAATTTACTCTGTAGATTGACTATTTTAATACAAGGAAATTTTAGAAAGTAAATTCATTCCTTTCAAGGAAATGAACAGTCAGACAAGAAAGACATTTTTTTAAATTTTTTTTATAAATTAGTGAATCTAATAAATAAATAAATGAATGAATTCATATGATGAAAAGAACTCATTTAGCGTTTATTATATTTCTATTTTTGTGTATATTATTATCACATAACATATGAAATTAACAATGTTTCATTTAATAACTAAGATGGAAATAAAAAAAGGTTCATATTAGTTAAAATTATATTTGATTTCCAAATTTTTAAAAGGATTAATTAACACATACCGATAATGATCCGCTTTGAATGGACCTTCAACATTAATACCAAGGTATTTAGATTGAGTGGGAGTAAGCTTGGTAAGTTTAACTCCTAATTGTTCAAGATGAGCAGCTGCAACTTCTTCATCAAGTTTCTTTGGCAACATATGAACTCCAAGCGGGTAAGAAGCGGTATCGGTCCAAAGAGCGATTTGTGCCAACACTTGGTTTGTAAAGGAGTTGCTCATTACAAAACTTGGATGTCCCGTTGCACAACCTAAATTGACTAATCTACCTTCGGCAAGAAGAATAATCTTATGACCATTCTTCAAGGTATAACGATCGACTTGAGGCTTAATGTTAACGTGTTTAACAGCGTTACTTTTTAACCAAGCTACATCAATCTCAATATCAAAATGACCAATACTTCAGATTATCCGTAAATTAAAACTTTGATCAGCATTGTATAAATTAACAAAAAAAAATTAAGTACATAAGATATAATATCTATAAACACCAATATCTTACTTGCACACAATAGCATCATTTTTCATCTGTTCGAAATGTTGTCCTAAAATAATATCTCGATTACCAGTAGTAGTTACGAAAATATTACCTTGGGTGCATGCATCTTCCATGGTTGTAACTTTGAAACCTAAAAGGTAACATTCATAAATGACTTGTTAGTAATTTAATTATAAAAGTAAAAAACAAATCAAGAACATTTTACCTTCCATGGCTGCTTGCAAAGCGTTAATTGGGTCAATTTCAGTGACAATAACACGAGCGCCCATTCCGCGAAGAGCTGCTGAACAGCCTTTGCCGACATCACCATAACCTGCAACTACGGCAACTTTGCCAGCAATTTGTACGTCGGTGGCACGTTTGATGCCATCGATAAGCGATTCACGGCAACCATAAAGGTTATCGAATTTTGATTTAGTGACGGAATCATTTACATTGATGGCAGGAACCTTTAATTTTCCTTCCTTGAGCTTTATATACAAGTGGTGGACACCAGTAGTAGTCTCTTCTGAAATACCCCTAATGCCTAGAAATTTTTTTTTTTTAAAAAAAAAACTTATCAGAACAATTTATTTGATTAAAAATGAGAATATTGATAACTTTAATACCTTCTAAAAATTCAGGGTGTTTGTCGTGGACTAACGAAGTCAAATCACCACCATCATCAAGGATCATGTTAAGAGGCTTTCCGTCCTTAAAAGCACAGAGAGATTGTTCGATACACCAAATGTATTCTTCTTCAGTCTCACCCTTCCACGCGAAAACAGGCACACCAGTGGCTGCAATAGCAGCTGCGGCCTGATCTTGCGTAGAAAAGATGTTGCAAGAACTCCAAGCAACTTCGGCGCCTAAATGAGTGAGTGTTTCTATCAAGACGGCCGTTTGAATTGTCATATGCAGACAACCGGCGATGCGAGCTCCCGCCAAAGGTTTGGTAGCACCATACTTTTCTCGTAAAGTCATAAGTCCTGGCATTTCACATTCTGCAATTTCGATTTCTTTGCGGCCCCAGGCAGCAAGCGAGATGTCAGCTGTAGTACGAAAGGAACCATTAATCAATAAATCTGTTCAGATAAAAGTTAAAGATCCAAATCCAAAACACTTGCCAACTTTAAAATTAGTCATTTTTTTCTTTATTGAGATTAAAGATGGTTAAAATTAAGTGAGCTCGTTAAGATTAAAGAAAAAGTAATTTTTTTTTTTAATCTGAAGCACAATTAGATACAAAAAATTTTAATTTAATATTTTTTGTATTTCTATCGCTATTGGCTTAAAAAAAAAAAAAAATTTGATTATCTGCATGAAAAAAAAAAAATTAATAATCATTGATAATCTGCATGAAAAAAAAAAAAAAAATTTTTTCAAAATGTTTATTCGACAATTGATACAGAGTACTCGATTTTTCATTAGACGAACTTCATTTTCTGCTTTCCCCACAAGTGTAACTCGTCGTAATTTGAAAATTGATCGGTCAAATTTTCATTTTTTTAAAAAGGTTTATTATTTTTATTAATGTTCTCGATTATAAAAAAAGGTTACTAACATATCCTAATATGGACTGATATAGGATATATTTCCAACCGTTTCCACAACCATCGGTTTAGTTGGAATATCTTACTGGTATGTGTACAATAACAATGTTGCGTTGGCTGATGCTCCACCAAAAAGTGTAGAGTTTGAAACAACTGGTATTTAAAAAAAAAATAAAAAAAAATTGAATGTTTTTGCTCTCATTTTAGTTTGATCGATCGATCGATCGATTAATATTATATATGATGTACATATGTATATATACATATATATATTATTATTATTTTTTTTTTTTTTGATGTTAAGAGGAACCTGAAAGCAAAGTACAAATTCCAACGTATATTTCATTACATGATGGGACAAAAGCAAGACTTATAGGATTAGGTATTAGAACAGTTTCATTTTTGAGAATGAAAGTTTATGTTGTTGGAATGTATATTCGTGAAAGTGACATCGATATGTTAAAAAAGTGGAAGGTAAATAATGCAAATAAAAAAAAAAAGAAAATGTTGAACATGAAATTTGGTAAATCCTCCTTTTGCTTAGGGGTATGATAAAGAAAAGTTCATGTCAGAGGATGATGAATCGATGGCTTTATCAATTTTGGATCAGCCTATTGTAATGGCAATTCGTATTGAACCTGTACGAAATACAAGCGGACATCACTTGCGTGACGGTTTCTCGCGAACGATTACTCACAGGATGCAAAATGGATTCATGAGCGAAGAGGAGGCTGAGGATGTGTTAAAGGCAATAAGAGAACTCCAAGCACATTTTCCAAAGTCAGTGGTGAAAACCGGTACAGCTTTAATTCTGACAAAGGAACCAAATGGAACTTTAAGAATGGAATATGAGGTATATAATTATATATACATGCATGTACATTTTATGATTTATATGTTAATTATGAATCAATATTCATCTAGGGAAAATATATGGGATCGGTGAATAATGTTTGGTTAACAAATAATATATTTATGGGCTATCTGGCAGCCAAAGACCCTATTTCTAAAAAGGTGAGTTTATGAAATAAGGTCACATGACTATGACGGACGTGCTTAAAAATTTCAACTTTGCAGGCGAAGAAAAGTATTGCTGATGGATTTGAGGAATTATTAAAATAACCAAGGTAAAATTTTAATATTTATTAATATTAAAAATCAAAATCAACATTGATTTTAATGAGTTGATCTCTAAGGAATTTAGGAAACGACGTGTAACCAAATATAGGTGAGGCAATGATTTGATTTTCTTTTTTTTCCTTTCCCCCCCCCCCCCCCCCCCCCCCCCCCCCCCGCCCACGAGCCCCCCGGCCCCCCCGGCCGCCCCGCGCACACCAC